CGGGCCTGCTCCCCGCGCAGACGTCGCTGGAGTACGCGCTGCTAGACGCCGTCACCCAGCAGGAGAAGGACAGCCTGGTCTACCAGTATCTGCACAAGGTGGACGGCTGGGAGCAGGACTTGGCAGTGCCCGAGTTTCCGGAAGGTGAGGGGCTGGCTGCGGGATGGGGGCCCCTCGCGGGACCTCCCCTTGGTCGCGGACGGCGCCCTCCCGTGAAGCGGGGGCGAGGCGGGGTTGTGCTGGCAGCGCCCAGCGGGCCGCTTCGCCTGAGCCGAGCCGCGGCTCGCGTGCTCTGCAGTTCCCAGGTGTCCTCACGCGGCGACAGACGGTGGGTCTCTGGAGGGCGGGGACCTGCAGAGTTGTCTCCTTTGTGAGTCCTGCTGGCGCCTGGCCTTAACTGAGTGGACACCCCATGAATGTGGTGGCCCCGGTTGACAATGATAGAAACGTCCAGGCTACCCTGTCCTTTCATTCTAGAACTCCCAGCATCATCTTTCTGCATCATCCTTGCTAACATTTACTGATAACTTTCTGTGTGCCACACACACTTCTGAACATTTCAGGAGGTACTGTCTTATTTAATTCTCTCGCAGCCCAGCCAAGTGCTTTTATTAGTTTTATTTTACAGTTCAGGAAACTGAAGCACAGGGAGGTTAAGTAATTTGCCCAGGGCCTCACAGCCAATAACTGCCAGAGTTGAATTTTACACACCCCAGATATGCTGGTTTCTTAGCCGTGCTGCACTTCTCCATTCAAAGTCGTGCAACTTCTAATTTTTAAAATGTGTATCAGTTTTAGCTTATCTCTTCAGCTGTGTCAGCGTTTGGAACATGAGGAACAGATATTCCCAGGGTGCTGTTTGTGAAACATATCTTGCTATGATAAATGAAATTGTACTTTACCTTCTTTGGTTGGGAGTCGCATTGTTTTGCCTGGTGGTGTTGGCATGTGTCCTGGGATGACACTGAAACCACATGTATAGTTAATTGTTTGGATGTGGCAGGGTTCAATGATCTCATAGGCGAAATATTGGAACCTGCTTCTGACAACAGAGTGTAGGGTGTCTTTCCAAGCCTTTTGTACCTGCCTTGAGAAGTGTTTATTTTTTCCATTATTTATCTTATACTGGATTTGAAATGTTGTGGAATTCTTACAAAAGAGTACATGAATACTTATTCCATCAAAGGAACTTTAAAATATTGCATACATATACAAATATATACATATACATTTTTTTTTAAAACTTCCTAAGAAGGTACACTGTTATAAACAAGCAGGCCACTACCTAGGATTTGGGGGAATGTTTTTATTTTCTAGTTTTCTTTGTATCTAC